TAGCACTTAGTTAGGTTATAAAAGTGATCTCGTATTACTAGAATTAGCGCATCATTGCATAGTACTGTCATGCACGTACACATCCATTGTTTCAAGCTTTATGACAAAAACCAAAATTTTTTTGTTGATAGAAAAAACCCCGTAACCAAAGCGTTAAATACAGACTTCATGTATTAACTACATTAATAAATGATGGAAATTGTATTAAGAAAATGATATTCGAGGATTCTATTCAGAGAAATGTTCGAACTAATTAAATGCTTGTTGTAATTCTTTCTCACTTATAAATCAAACCAAAATATATAACTAATATTTTTTTGCACTTTACAAAATTAAAACTGTCTTATGTCAATCGAAATTATTGTTTTCAAATATTTCTTAACTATATGAATACTAATCTTTCAATATTACAGAAACTATTATCAAAACTAGATCATAGTCTTAAGAATACTATTTTTTTGAATAAAATCGAGTGCAAATAGCTTGTTTCTGTATTATGTTGCTAGAAGTAGACTTCATGAATATCTGTCTTACAAACTGGTTACTAAGTAACCATATTATTAATTAAAAAAATCATATGAATATTTATATAAATCACTTACGATAAATAAAGGAAAACATTATTATTAATTGAAAATTTTATTTAATTGTTTATTTAAAAACTTATAATTTGTTAAACAATTGACCAATCATTGAAAAGAAAAGGAATACTAAAAAATTTGTTCAAGCCTTCTCTTAGTTTTGCTTTCTTTCTCTTTCTTATCTTTCGATAAAGAAAAAAAAAACCATAGAATCTCATACTAGTAAATATATTACTCACCTTTCCACGTTGGCAACTTCTATCCACGTCACCGTGGCAGGTGGATCGGCTTTATATTCGATCGAATAAACATTGATTTCCACATCATTAACAATGGGTCAAATTCTTGATCGAAGTTTTGCCGATGCAACAAATACTAAGAATAATCAAAGTATAATTTTTCTTTTTCGCTTTGTTTATCATCTTTTTCATGTCCTAATTATCGTAGTCACAAAAGTTTCTGATATATCTCAATTACCACCGGAACTTGCATTAGAAATTCTTAAAAATTTAAATGCTACTGATTTATGTCTTGCTTCTTGTGTTTGGCAAACATTAGCTAATGATGAAATCCTCTGGCTTGGGTAAATAACATAATAGTTGCTTATTTTAAATAATTTAATATTTTCATTTTTAAAGATTATGTAAATCAATTTGGAGATATGTATCAATTTATAAACGAGCACATCATGAAGGTATTTCATTTCGCAAAATCTATTTACAACTTGATGAAGGAACATTACGATTTAATGCTGGCGAAGTAAGAAAATACTTTTACTTTATTATTTTAGTAGTAGAAGTTTTATATTCATTCAGGGTTTGAAATATTTTATTGAAAATAAACTTCTAGATGATACATGTGAAGAAATTAGTAAATTTATACATAATACAAGAAAATTACATGCAACAGAAAAACGTAAATTATTAAAAGAACGGTACGTAAAAAAAAGAAAATATTCAAAGTTTAACGAACTTTTTGCTTTCATTCATTGGGCAAGAAGATTTAACACCTATTAGACTTTAATCGAAATTGAATGTGATTTTTCTCTTATTCAATAATTCTATTTTTAGTCGAGATGTACTTGAACGTTTGATTGAACTTCAATCTTATGAAAATCAATTTTTACCAAATGCATTACGACAATTTTTTGCTAAACTCGATGCACCTGAAGAACGTAATGAATATTTATCTATATTAATTGAAAATTTTTCTAAACGTTTTTATGAATGTAATAAAGATCTTGGATTATCAATTGGTATGTACTAACTTTAGAGAAAAATAAATATCTTTCTTTTAAGAAGAATCATAATATTATTGGTTTTTATTTTTATAGAAACAATTTATGTACTTTGTTTTTCATTAATTCTACTTTCGATTGATCTAACATCACCACATATAAAAAATAAAATGTCTAAACGTGAATTTATTCGTAATACACGTCGTGCTATAATTAATGGAACATTGAGTGATGAATTAGCTGGTCATTTCTATGATAATATCTATTTAATTGGACACGTGGCTCGTTCAACAACTATTGCACGTTAGAAGCATATGCATGAAAGACATATCAAAATCCGGTTAATCTTTTTTTATAAACAAACTTTTTCGTTTTCTTTTTTTTTGTTATTGAAACAGAAAGTTTCTTCTCTTATATTTTTTAGGTTTTTTTTTGTATATTCTACATAAATTCATTTTTTGATTTTTGCTTATGAGGAAAAGAACATGTTATTTATATATTAAGAGATTGAATAAACAACAAGTTTTTCAGTACTGATCTCAATTAATCGTTTTCCTTAAACAAAACAATGTGACGTATACAGAACGTCTCTGATAGAAAATGCTGAAAGAAATCTCTTTTGCTAGAAGTTATGAGAAACAGCACCATATGATCACTATCAAATTTCCGATGAACTGTAAACCAGACCTCGAAACGAGCCACCTAACCCAAGGAGATTTTTATTACGAGTAGTCTGGTCCGAATTTTATTTGTTTTTTTCCAAGGAAGATTTTCCACATAAGAAAAAAAATTTCATTCTAACCGAGTTTCTTCTAGCTAAAGATCAATTAAAATAGGACCAATATCATTTGATTAAAATTAGATTCTTTGACCTTTAATCGATTTACATGACAATGATCGTAAAACGGATTGTTCTCAAGTTTTAAGTTAGAAACTCAAACTTTTGGTCGTTTCGTCGAACTCCTCATCTCAGACGGGTACTTACAGGTGTTAAAGTAGTTGAGGACATTTTGGGGTTTAGCACTGAGGAGGGATAGGGGGATTTCCGTCAGGCTACTCCCTCTCCGCCCCCCTTTCCGCCATCATCACTTTTAATAAAAAACAAAAGCTTTTTTTTATGCTGAAAAACCAGAAAGGGGAACTGTGACTCACGGCCACGGGCTGGGCTCACCATGACCGTGACGAAAAAAAATTTGGTCACGCCGGGCATTAGTTGAGATAAAATATCAATTAATACTAACTCATATAAGAAAAAAATTTCGATGCATTAGATTAGAATCGATTTCTTTATGAAGAAGTATCAATTAAAATGGTACCTTTCGATTCCTATTAAAACCGGACTTGTTAGTTTTAAAGATAGATTTAATTTGATTTTAGTTGATGAGGCTTTACTGATCGATTAAAAATCAGTTAAAAAGACTAAAATCAATTGAAATCTATTTTTAAAGTTTAGAAATCGAATTACAGTGAGAGGTACGCAGGCAGCATTTTAATCGGTTTTTAACAAAAAATAACTAATTTGATTCTGAGGGTGTGGGTGTGGGTGTTAATATTCACCTCAACTTCACTCACACCCACACCTACCCACAAAATATGAGTTTTACGGTCCTACTGCACCTTCTTGGCATCCTTGTGGCTCACGTTTTTTCCCGTATGTTTCTATATGGATCGATGCAGTTTCTGATAAACTTTCTGAAAATGAAATCAGATTTGTGGAGTCATTGCATTTTGCTACACTTTGGATCGAAATACTGCTAAAAATCATCTATCTGGAAAATGCGATTTTTCCAGTGTAAAATTTTTGGGGCAGCTTGGAATGGGCGACAAATTACTTCTTAGAAATATTATTGTAGAGATTTTTTTTCTCTATCATTCAAAAAAAAAGCTGCACCTCAAACGGATGAACTATCGTTGAGAAAAGTCAAAAATACAGGTACCTACCGGAACCATCAAATTTTTGCAGAAAAAAGGATCTTATGAGAGACTCTGTCACTGTTTTGATCATAACTCTTCACAAACCCAATCAGAAAGACTCATATTTCTACCATAAAATTTGTCAGACCATCGACTATCGAATGGTAGCAGAACATCGAATTTTAAAATTTTCGAGAGGAGTGATGGTCTTATTCAGGGTGGTGATCTGGCGGACTCTTTCTTAATAGATAATTGAAGTGCTATAACATCCATTAATTAACATATATCAAAAGCATGATTGCATCGATAAAATTTACAAGATATCTTAACCAAACAATAAAAAAAGGAAAAACAAACAATTCAAGTTGAATTTTTTTGTATCAATTTAGTATAAAACTAATACAATACATATAATTGAAACAAGTGATTGTGGTAGCAGATCTTCATATAATTAATCACAAAATTCAATATCCTTTATTCCAAATAAAAATTTTTTTTTTATATTAGCTGTTTTTCCAAGATAGATCAGATAAATTCAAAAATTTTCTTTTTCTTATTTCTTTCAAATAAGAACATTGACATCAAAAGAACCAATTTCTTCTTTTAAGATTAGATACAAATATTCCACTAAATTGATTTCCTTTCATTATTCTAAGTATTCTCAACTGTCGACATTTTTTAAAAAAAAAATTTTCACAATAAAAAAAATCTAAGGAAATTTCAAAAATAGATAAATAAAAAGAAGCTTCATTGAAATGTTTTATTTTTTTTCGTGTTCGTCGTGAATTTATTCAGGCTTGATTAATAAGAAAAAAAAATTTTTACAACAAAACGAAACAATTTGTTTTCAAATACAAAAACAAAAATAACAAATCTTCGTTTATATACAAAGATTCGTATAACGTTCAGCGTAACCACTTGTTGTTTTTATTCATTCTTCGATTTTTTCTAAAATAAAAAAACAAATATTTTGTTTTCTTTTAATATTATATTTACTTTCTTTTCTTAGAATTATTTATAATATTTTCTTTATAATCTTCGACTTCTTCGTCGACTACAAATAAAAAGCAAAATGATCTATATTTCTATTAATTTTAGTTACTTACAACGTTCGAATTTTTCTAAATCTTGTATCATTTTGTAATCATTTATAGCCTTTTGAGATTTGCTTAAAACAAAATAAAATGAGATTAATTTAAAATATAATTCGCTTACTGATAGATTAATAGGATTTTTTTATCCCTATATATATTGTAATGAAGTTTTTTCAAACAGTCGACATCGTTAACAAGATCTATAATAGAAAAAAAATTACGATTGATTAAAATATTTTTTATGGAATTAATTTCATTATATAATAATTAAGAAATAATATATTCTACCTTCAAATTTTTCTTTTTTGTAAAATAATTCAATCCGATCAATATATGATACNAACATCAAAATTCGATTGCTCGCAATTTTGTCGAACTTTTAACACAAAAAATGTGATTTGTCTTGAAATACATGGGGCACTCCAAAAGTTTTCTCCCGGTTCTTCTAAAAGCCCTAGTTTGAGTTCAGGTATTCTGTTATAATGCTTAGACATATGTAGGATTGTGTGCAAAATTTTAGACTTCTAAGTCTTGTACTTTGCTGTAGCCGATCATTTCTTTTACGCAAGGTCACGCAGTCTGCTAACGGATGGCCCATCTTGTTCAAGAAAACTTTGCGTCTCATATTTTGATTCCTTAATTCATTCTGTTAGAATAACGAAATATGTTAGAAGACGCACCGTGAAAAGCTCTATAATTTACGCAGGACAATTAATTTTACAGCTGCATTTTTTGTGTTAAAAGTTCGACAAAATTGCGAGCAATCGAATTTTGATGTTGCAAAAACAATATTTTTCTGATTAAAGATTAATTCGCCTCTTTCTTATTTCATCTTGCTTTACCTGATATTTTCTAGTAAAAAAAAAAACATACCACAGCATAAAGCGTGCAAGGCTCTACAAGTTGCATAAGATACCTTATTTTACAGCTGCATTTATTTGTTTCGAAAATCGACAAAATTCTAAACAATCCAATTTTGACCGTGCAAAAAATGTTTTTTTCGTGTGAACTGAACACGCTTTTTTCTTATTCAGCATCTGACATGTTGTGTTTCAAAAAGGAGGAAATACACCACAGGATGCAGCGTGAAAAACTCTACAATTTGCAATGAACAATTTGTATTATGCATGTAGTTTTTTTTATTAAGAATAAGCTAAATTCTAAGCGACCAATATCTTCGACTGCTAAAATTCTACCTAAACGATGATCTCGTTTTTTCGCATTTCATCTTTTTCTCACCCAATACGTTTGTTTTCAAAGAAACAGAATATAACGAAAGATGCAGCGTGAAAACTCTATAAATTACCAACAACAATTTATCTTAATTATATTCTTTTGCTTTTTGGAAAAAAGCAAAATTCTGTGAACTAATTTTAGCAGACTCCAGAATTGGTCGCTCAGAATACTGTTTATTTCGAAGCAAAGCATGTATAATCAACATAAGCTTTACATTGTAGATTGTACAGCTTTTTACGCTGCATCTTCTTGTATAATTTGTTTTTAAATAAAATTTTGTTAGGGATCAAAACATCAAATGCAAAGTTCCACCATTTTTTTGTAAGTCACCCGCTATGAAGCTTGAAAAAGATGCCATGTTATTAGCATAAAAGAAATGATTGGCTACAACAAAGTAGAAGGTTGATAAGTCTGAAATTTCGCACATAATTCTAAATATGTTTAGGCATTATAATAGAAAAGATGTCCTCAAATAAAGATTTCTAGAAAAACCGGGCGAAAAATTTTTAGCGTGACCTATGTAATTTACATAGAATTTAATTTTAAATCAAACTTGATTTTTTCTAAATTAAATTTCAAAATACGCGTTACAATTTATTTAAAATAAAACTCGATTTTTTTAATTAAATTTCAAAAAATTTAAATTGGAGTCTGTTTTATTTTTGAAAAAATATATTTCGTCCTTCGAATAAGTTCCTTAGAGTCTAAAGACGAGCTCTTATTGAGGAAATTAATTCCTTCGACTGAAGAGATGTTCATACGAAACAAAATCGTTTATTTGCCTCTGGCAAGATCAAAACACACCAGGATTAAAACCATATCCATGGA